AATGACATAACAAGGAACTCGTAATGACCATACCGAATCCTGAAGGCAGTCTTCGGGATATCTGGCTCCCGAATCTTCAACTATTGATAGCCTGAATGCAAGTCAATCATAGAAAACACACGAGCACCCTGTAACTGATCAAACAGGTCATCAATACGAGGCAAAGGATAACGGTTCTTCACTGTAACCTTCTTCAACTGGCGATAATCAATACACATACGCATAGAACCATCCTTTTTCTTCACAAACAAGACAGGAGCACCCCAAGGTGATACACTGGGCCGAATGAAACCCTTATCAGGCAATTCCTGTAACTGCTCCTTTAACTCCTTCAATTCAGGAGGAGCCATATGGTACGGAGGAATAGAAATGGGCTGAGTGCCCGGCAACAGATCAATGGCAAAATCAATATCTCTATCGGGCAGCATGCCCGGAAGATCAGCTGGAAACACATCAGAGAAATCCCGTACTACTGGGACTGAACCAACTGCAGGGGTATCAATACTGACATCTCTCACATAAGCTAGATACGCGTCACACCCCTTCTCAACCATACGATGAGCCTTAAGGAATGAAATAACTCTACTGGATGTATGATCTAAGGTACCCCTTCACTCTACTCGCGGTACACCTGGCATAGCCAGCGTCACGATTTTCGTGTGATAGTCAAGAATAGCATAATGGGGCGACAACCAGTCCATGCCCAGAATAACATCAAAGTCTACCATGCTGAGCAATAACAAATCGGCTCTGGTCTCAAAACCGCTAAGAGCAATCAAACACGACCGATAAACGCGATCCACAACAAGAGAATCTCCAATAGGAGTTAAAACATAAACAGGAGAACTCAAAGAATCCTGAGATACACCCTAATGCGGTGCAAAATAAGAGGACACATAAGAATAAGTGGAGCCTGGATCGAATAAAACCGATGCATCTCTATGACAGACCAGGATAATACCTGTGATGACAGAATCGGAGGCGACAGCCTCAGTGCGGGCAGGAAGGGCATAGTATCTGGCCTGGTCTCCCCCTCTAAGGCGACCTCCACCTCCCCGACCTCTACCTCTAGCAGCGGGGCAGGTGGGGTAGCAACTGGTGCTGAAATCATAGCCTGGGAACTCTGCGGAGCACGCTGTGGCTGAGAAGTCTGTGGAGGCGCACCCCTCCCTAGTCTAGGGCAATACCTCACCATATGGCGTATGTCGCCACACTCAAAACAACCTCGCGGTTGACGTGGCAGTGGGAACTGTGCGGTACGGGTATCTGAGACCCCAAAACACCTAAAACACTGTGCGAAGCCTGAAACGCAAACTGAGCTGGCTGACCCACAAAACCTCTACCATGCCGTACTCTTCCTCCAAAATAAGGGCCAGTGGATCTCTCCGGTCTACGAGGTCTCCTCGCCTCCCTATACTCTCTCTCCTGACCTCGTCTGTCCTCTACTCGGCGAGAGATCCTCACCACCCACTGAACTGGGACCACAGGCTGTGTCGCGATGACACCTGGAACCTGACCAATGTGAACTCGATGCTCCGGAGTAGGGACGGCGGGAGTCTGGGTCCCTCCCCCGATCTGTGAAGTAGTTGGTACAACCTGAATTAATCCCGCCTGAACCAATGTACCAAACATGCTCAGGAACTGTGTTAAGGTCTCCTGAAGTGCTGGAGTAGTAGCAGTAGGCGTATCAGGCTCCTGGGCTCCAATTGGAACTGCTGGTGGCTCCTCTGTAGCAGCTCGCGCGGGTGCTCTGGCTGCACCGCGTGCGCGTCCTCGGCCTCTACCCCGGCCCCGACCCAGACCTCTGACGGCTCTCGCAGGGGGCGCGGGTATCTGGTCACCTCTAGTAACACGTGTCCTCACCATCTGTGAGAGAATGGAAAACAGAGGTTTAGGATTGTGATGTCAAAAATCTCGCACGACAAGGAAATCAAATGAAGTGGAATTTTACTAACGGTTACATAGCCTCTCGTAGATAAGTACAGACGTCTCCATACCGATCCGTGAGACTCTAATAAACCGGCTTGTGATTCATGAACCTAGAGCTCTGATACCAACTTGTCACGACCCAAGTTCGCCCTCCCGTGAACATGTCGTGACAGCACTTAGTCCCTACGACTAGGCAAGCCTAACAATTTCGGGAAAAAAGAAACAAATGCGGAAAACTAATAAAAACCGACGATAACAATTATAAAAGTGTTTAAGACGCCGCTCCGCATATACAATACAAGATCTCAAAACCGAAAAACTCCCAAAACCCGGAATCCCATGAATCACAAGCTATGAATACGACAAAATGCTCTAACTCCGGAATGTCTAAATCAAAAGAAAAGATAGAAGGTCTATCACTACAAGAGAGAATGGAAAGGGACTCCTCGGTCTGCGGACGCGGCAGATATACCTCGAAGTCTCTAGAGAATCCCCTCGCCTCAAGGGTAGTAGGGCTGAGTCGAAGTACCTGGATCTGCACACAAAAAACATGTGCAGGAAAGGGCATGAGTACACCACATCGGTACACAGTAAGTGCCAAGCCTAACCTCGATCGAGTAGTGACGAGGAAGGTCAGGTCCCTAACGGTCATATACAATAATATATAAGGAAAAGAAGTAGTATTAAAGTAACACAGGGTAATAAGAGTAGTAACAACTACAACAGAGACAAAATAATCACAGAAGGAATACAGCTCAACACAGAGATAACAACCGGGGATCTCCCAGGATACCGTTCTGTAGTCCCCAAATATAAATATCCAGTGGATCTCCCGGGTGTCGTCCCGTAGTCCAACTCATAACGCGCAGGGGATCTCCATACCAAATACACAAAAATCGGACCACAAACAACCCCTCAAATCCCCAATTCCAAGTCTCCAATTTCAAACCCTAAACCCCCAAATTTAACCCTTATTTCCCATAATTCAGTAGAAAATACAATAATAACGAGTTTGAGTTCAAAAAACTTACCTCCTTGAAGCTCTCTTGAATCCTCTCTCAAAAACCTCCCAAAAGCTCAAAAATCCCAATGAAAATGGTGAAGAAAATGGGCAAAATCGCGACTGAACCTTTATATAGGTTCTGGCCCAGGATTTCCGCACCTGCGGCCATTTCCTCGCACCTGCAGACCCGCACTTGCGGTCCCAGGTGCGCACCTGCGAAATTTCACTTATAACACCTAAGCCGCACATGCGCTTCTTCTACCGCACCTGCGGTCTCGCAGGTGCTTCGGAATCTGGTTTCCAAGCGCATAGCTGCATCTGCGGCTCCTCAATCGCTTCTGCGATCACGCGCATGCGGTCCCCCAATCGCAGGTGCGGTTATGACAGAATTAGCAACCTTCAAATTTCTCCTAAGCCCAATTCAACTTCCGTTAAGCACCCGAAACTCACCCGGGGCCCCCGGGACCTCAACCAAACATGACAACCAATCTTAAAAAATCATACAAACTTATTCCAACCCAGGAATCACACCAAACAACGCTAAAACCACAAATCACTCTCCAATCCAAGCCTAAGGATTTCCAAAACTTCCAATTTCCGCTTTCGATCAAAAAGCCTATCAAACCTCGTCCGAATTACCTGAAATTTTGCACACACGTCCCAAATGACACAACGGACCTACTCCAACTTCCGAAATTCCATTCCGACCCCGATATCAAAATCTCACCATCGAATCGGAAACTTCAAAAATTCGACTTTCGGTATTTCAAGCCTAATTAAACTACGGACCTCCAAAACACAATCCGAACACGCCCCTAAGCCCAAAATCACCCAACGGAGCTAACGGAACCAACGGAATTTCATTCCAAGATCGTCTTCACACTGCTCTAACTACGGTCCAAATTTAAATGCTTAAACCCTCATTTTGGGACTAAGTGTCCCAAAACTCTCCGAAACTCCAAACGAAATCTCCCGGCAACTCACAATAGCGGAAATAAACACGGGGAAAGCAGTTAATAGGGGATGGGGGCGTTAATTCTTAAAATGACCGACCGGGTCGTTACAGGGATGACCCAACCGGTCATGCCAAACGATAAAATCATTAGAAATAGTAAACGTTTTGTTTACTATGTTATGTGATTCAACCACACCGATGTTTGTGTGGTACAACCCAGAAGAAAATATGGGTAATTTTTTGTGCACACATGTTTTCCCCAATTTTATTGTAGTAATATAAAGGTATTCATTCTTTCTGTCATTAAAGGTCTCAACATGGTAGTCATTTTGGCGAATAGCTTTGAAACTCAACAAGTTTCTTTGAGACATACTACAATAATACATTATTAATAGTTAATATCGTTCCTCCAGGTAATAATAAGGCCGCTCTTCCAGAGCCCTCAATTAACTTTGTACTACCAGATATTGTATTAACATAGGCCTTTTTATAACCAAATAAGAGAAAATTTCTTTTCTCTTAATATTGTGTGAGTTGTAGCACTATTCAAAAGGCATAAATCTTCATTACTCATCTTGGATCCAATTGAAGACTGGAAAATCTTATATTCTTCAAAAAAACTAAAAGTACACCATGAGAAATATGAAAAAACTAACAACAACATAAGACAACTTAAGTACTACTTGAAAATAAAAACAACTTTAGAACGAGACAAAAAAATACTGAAAATAAAAATAACAACATAATTGCACCCCAGTAAAATGATCAAACTTTATTTTTGATCTCCAAAGAAGTCTTCAACTCCAAATGAGTATGATCATCGAGGCCTTCAAAATCATCATCATTCAAAGCAAGATTTGCCTCGGCATTGTCATCATTTTTGTTTGAAGGCCCTGCCTCAAAATCCTTTTTAAAGGTCAAGTGAGACTCCACTGGGGCATTAGCAGAAGGTGCTCCAACATTATTTGCCTTTCTTTTGATGGAGTTATGATAAAGCCTGACAAAATGCTCAGGTGCACGGCATTTAATTTTTTAATAATCGTTCATGCCACAGCGATGGCAGTTACCGTTTTTGCCTGTTGAAGGATTGTTTTGAGAACCCATATTGTTCTCTCATTTGCCATAACCACCACGATGACAATTATTATATTGTCTCTTGCCATTGCCAAGCTCACGTACATTCATATGACCGTGATAATTATTCTGTCTTTTTCCAGACTTATCACGTCTCGCTACCATATTCACTTCAGGAAGTGGAGTTGACCCTGTGGGACGGGCTTCATGATTTTTCAGCAAAAGGGTATTATGTTGCTCAGCCACCAGAAGACATGAGATCAATTCAGAATACTGTTTAAATCTCCTTTCATAGTATTGCTGATGTAATACCATATTTGAGGCATGAAAAGTCCTAAGTGTCTTTTTCAACAAATCCTCATCATTCATAATATCTCCGCATAATTTCAATTGGGAAGTTATTCAAAATACAGTAGAGTTATACTCACTTACGGTCTTAAAATCTTGCAACCGTAAGTGCATCCACTCATATCGAGCCCTTGGCAATACCGTAGCCTTAAGGTGATCATACCTTTTCTTCAGGCCAGTCCACAATTCAAGTGGATCCTTCACTGTCAAATATTCAACCTTCAGACCTTCATCCAAATGATGACGAGGGAAAAATCATAGCCTTCGCTTTGTCATGGCTTGATGCCTCATTACCATGAGTAATGGTGTCACCAAGGCCTTTAGCGGCTAAGTGAATCTCAGCATCAAGAACCCATGATAGATAATTCTTTCCAGAAATGTCAAGTGCCACAAACTCAAGCTTTGACAAATTCGACATAGTGAAAACTGAACAACGAAAAGAGCTCAACTTCGTGCTGATAACGTGTTAAGAAATGTAGCTCAAAGTAACAATATAAAACAAGAAGATAAGTAATAGAATAAAAGAAGAAGAGATAACTTTCTTATTTCATCAAGTATTCAAGTGTCTCCCATATCACATTTCATGCCTCTATTTATAGTATTACATAGAAGGTTACAAAAGGATTGTCTTAAACATGACATTAACAATTGAGATCATGGGGGAAGATCATGGGGAGGGGTTATGGAGGTGTGGGAGTTACAATCATAATAGTGATGAATAGTGGGAGATTATTTACATTATGGGTGAAAGTAATGGGAGTAGTGGGCATCCACAATTACTATAGGTTTTACAACAATATTGCATTTGTATCATAAAATGTGTGTTGTGTGAATTACTATGTTATCCATATTAATGAATTTTGTAACAAAATCGTCACAAGTATTTATTTATTTTTAAATGTGTTTTTGTGAGTGTAGAACTGCAAAGGTAAAACAAGATCAATTATATAGATTAACACTTAAAATTAGCATCAAGTGCTACGTAAATATATTAACTATCTCATCAAGTGTTTGATATCCACTTTAAGATCTCAACTAATTCGGAGTTGCATCATATCATAAGGATCGTTAAACATAAAAGCACTTCATATTAGAATTTTTTTTATTCTCATTAGTGCTCAAAATCGGTATATGATATAGACAAATCTTATCTATCCTACCTACTAAGTAAAAGTCAAAATAGGCACGTATGTTGTCTACATTTCGTCCCTTAATCGGGTTTCAAAGACAATTACAGAAATTCTTGGCCGGTTGTATAGTGCACCCTATTCGACTTGGAGTGACTTTCCACTGGATCTCGTGCAACAAATATTCAACGAATTTAAGGTTTTAATACAATTCTTATCTATTTAAGCATTATATTAACAATATTTTCATCTAACATTACATACTTTATTTGCAGACTAAGTGTGCTTGGGAGGACCGGTATAACCGTGAAATTTGTGCAAATTGGGAGTATAAATAGCGTAAGAGACTATCTGATTCCTTCTGCTCCGTTCGAAAGATGAACAAGAAGCCTTCAGGGGTACTACCGCATTTATGGGAGGATCTGCAGACCACCGAGAAATTAGAGAAGAAGAATGAACTGGAAAAGAAGGCCCGAGCATTTGAGAAGGGTGGCTCCTTGCACTGTATGGGTGCAAGGAGCATGGGGGCTACGAGGAGACTACTGGTAATTCCTTAAAATATTTACATCTATTTTTATTGAACTATATTTATATATGTTAATTTAGTTAACACGTTTTATTATATTTGTAAGAAAAAAAAATATGGGAGGAAGATGACTCATGATGAATTCTTCATGGAGACTCACATCCAGAAGAAGAAGGCACCGACAGATCCAAGTAGATGGGTCGAGGACCGGGCGGATTAACTATCTTCTAAATAAAGGGTCGCTAATGTGGAGGAGTTCACTCAGAGCTTACCACCGAATGAGCAAGGCGAGCGACCACCCCTTTCAGACGAAGAAGCGCAGAGGATATGGTTGGATGTTGTCGGTGGTCCTAAATAGGGGATAGCATACGGCCTTCCAGAGAAATCATTTCGGCGCTACAGGGTTGGATTGCAAGGTATAGGGACTTCCGCCCAAGGCGAGACAATTGATAGGTCGACTATCTCATCTATGGAAGAGAAGATCGCAAAGCTGACAGCAAAGCTTGAAGAGACAAAGGCTAGAGAACAAAAGAGAGATGAACAATTTGGTACCCTTCAAGTTCAGCTAGAAAGGAGGGACGAACAATTTAATCTCCTTCAAGGTCAGCTGGTCAATCTTCTTGCTAGTGGTGCTTTCCCCATTCCCCGGTCTCGTGAGCCTTCCCCATGTACTAATCCTTCTCGTTGTGATCCTTCGAACCATGCTGGCGATGAAGGTTCTAGGAGTGAGGATGGAGATGATGCTATATAAAACACTCAGTGAATGGTGTGTATTGCTAAACAAAGTATTGTACTTGACTATTTTTTAGTTCAGACTAGTTTTAAATGATGATTGTATTATTGATATTATTTTGTTATTGAACATTTGTGCCGTTGTTGTTGTGGTTGCCGTTGTTGTTGTGTTGTTATTAGTTGTTGTTATATAATGGTTGTTAGTGTTAGTTAATTTTTTTTGTTAGTTAATTATTGTTGTTGTTGTTAGTTAGTTAATTGTTGTTGATTAATTATGGTTGAATGCAACAATGTAATGCTGCCATTATAGGATGGATATTGGTTGTAATTGGCAGGTGGTGTAGCTTAAAAGCAGGCATTTTCTGCCCAGTTTTTACCCAGATTTCGGACCGAAATCGGTCGAAAATTAATTTTTTTTGCCCAGAAATTCATAATTTTCGACCGAATTCGGTCGGAAATTCAAATAAATTCCCTAGTGTTTTGAAATTTTCGACTGAATTCGGTCGAAAACTATGAATTTATATTTTTATTTTTTTAAAATTCCGACCGATTTCGGTCGGTATTTGAAAATTAAAAAAAAATATTTTAATGGTTACCGATCGAATTCGGTCGGAAAGTGATGTTTGACAGTCAGTCAACGCTTTGAAATTTCCGACCGACTTCGGTCGGAAATCTTCGACCGTTTTCGGTCGGTACACGTTAGCGACCATCGAATCCCCGACTAATTAAAATCGGTCGGAAATCGATCGATTTTTATCAATTTCCAACCGATTTCGGTCGGTTTTGGTGGACGAATTTCCACTTTTTTTTAGTAGTGGCTAAGTAAAAGTCAAAATAGGTACGTAGGTTGTCTATATTTCATCCCTTAGGGTGCAGTCCTTCCCAGGACCCTGCGTGAATGTATGATGCTTTGTGCAGCGGGCTGTACACATAGACAAATTAAATCTTCTCTATCCTACCAACTAAGTAAAAGTCACAATCGGTATGCTGGTTGTCTACATCTTACTCTTTTAAGGTGCGATTCTTTATCAAATTATGCATGAACGCGGAATACTTCGTGCCAAATCTTATCTATCCTACCAACTAAGTAAAAGTCAAATCTGGCTGACTCATTATCTCTATAAACTCTGGAATGATGTAGTCTGGGGAAGGGAATAGGGACAGGTGGTAGTACGAGAATGGCACATATCAGCCCATCCAAACTAGACAACTCTTGCACATTCATGTCATTGTAAAATGTGCAGTGATAGGTTACTCCAAGTTAAAAGCACTGAATTTCGGACATACCTAATCAGAAAAAATGTTGTTATCCACAAAGAACGACAATCTTTTAAGGGCCCCAAAATATACCAACAAATCTAATCCACAACGAATACTTTGGGATAAGGTTTCGTAGCTTTTTGAAATATGTCCCAACTCGACAATGTAGATAATGCTTTATTACCCCTCCATTTAATTTTATAGTGTCTTACTTGAATTAACACACTGAATTAAATAATATAAAAGAATCTTCCAATCTTGCTGTCTCAAACTACTAGTGTGCATAGCATATCAAATTCTTTAAATTTTACTATTGTCTTAAATATATTATATCATTTTTACAAAAAATAAAAAATTGATTTTTTTTTTTTTTTGAATTAAGAACTTACAATATACAGAATACGGTATTCTTTTCTCAAACAAACTAAATGAATTTATTTTTCTCTTTTTCTCTCTCCTATTCATAAACTCACTTCTCTCAAGAACATATTTTCTAACCATTTAGGATATGATAATCCCAAAAGCTTTTCTTTATTCTTTTAAAATAAAGAAGAAAAAGAAGCATTTAGGATAGTTGGTAACATCTCACAATATATTGCTTTGTCTTATCAACTTATATATATCCACAAAAGGAAGTGACACTTCTTTTTTTTTTTTTTTTTTTTATATCTTCCTTCTATCCTGATCATCTAGAGCTTAACTTTTTGTAGTGTTAGAATAGGAGTTCCAATGCACGCATAATTGTGCCAATAAAGCACTACAGTTTACTTTTATTAACAAAAATTAAACCATACAAACCATCAATGTGGTAGATGGATAGGATTTTTTTTATGTAGTATCTCAAAAGGAAGTTGTCCTTCGTGAATTAGGAATAGCTATTTTTTTACTTTATAATGAGTTATCTTTTGTTGATCTTGTAAAGAGCTAGTAAAAGAAAGTGACTCGCACACGTGAGAAATGTGTCTAGAGGAGAAGTTGGTGTACTTTCTTCTTGCGGCGCGAGATATATATAAGGCCTAATCCGAATTTATTTGAGATTAATTGTGCCTAATTCCAAAATTGTAAGCATTGCTTATTTATGATAATTAATCAGCCCTATTACTTGAGATTACTTGGTTTATGTCAGGTGAGCTCTTTCTGTAACGACCCGACCGGTCGTTTTGAGCTCTAGCACGTCGTTCAGCGGTTTGAAGCCCTGAATAGCTTCACTTCAGGTATTATGACTTGTACGCGTGGTCGGAATTGAATTCCGGGAAGTTCGGAGTTGATTTGGAGAGAGAATTCTCATTTCGGAAGCTTTAAGTTGAAAGAATTGACTAAGGTTGAATTTTTGAGTAAACGACCTCGAAATCGGGATTCGAAGGTTCCAACAGGTTCGTACGATGATTTCGGACTTGGGCGTATTTCCGGATCGGGTTTTGGAAGACCCGGGAACGTTCCGGCACCTATTGTGGAAGTTAGCATTTTTGGAAGAATTTCATAAGTTTGGGTTGAAGTGCATTTCAGTGTTATCGATGTCCGTTTGGGATTCCGAATCTGGGAATAGCTTCATGTGGTGATTCTGGTGTTGGGAGCGCGATCAGAAGTGAATTCGGAGGTCCGTGGGTCATTTTGGAGTCATTTGGCTAAAGATGGAAATTTGAAGGTTTTTGAGAAGTTTGATCGAGAGTTGACTTTTTGATATCGGTGTCGGATTCCGGTTCCGAAAGTTGGAGTAGGTCCGTAATGTCGAATATGACTTGTGTGCAAAGTTTGAGGTCAATCGGACGTGAT